TTGACTTCAATGACATGCAAACATGCTTTCACCTGGGAGAAATGGAGATGAATCTAATTCGCACGTGGTGCCTATAAGTCCTTGTCCTCCCGATATGATATGAATGTAATCTTTGAATTTTGTTGTAACTAACCCACGCCGTGATTTGTAGAATGCAAGTGCACATTGTCAAACAAATGCCAAGTGTGAAAGCCGGGTATGTAGACCCTCAAGCTATAGCCCAAATAAATTTTAATTACCCTAAACGGTGGACACTGGATGCCAAAGAGCTAGCTGCTGCAAACTCTTCGGGAGAAAGAGCACATCTGTACAGCGAAACTAAGGGAAGAGTCCCTTAAGGTTGCGGCATACATTGCCCTGGCTTTCAAAAATCTTCAACAACACTCTACTATATGGCTACCATACAACTTCGAGTAAGCTCAACTCTATACTTAAAGCTTTGTTTGATATATTTTATTCGATGCAAAAGAGCTTATCTAGTTCTATGATTAAATTCATGCAGCAACCACTGGATTTGTATAGCCGTCGATGTCGGGAGGAGCATGGCATGGGACTTTGATTCATTAGATAGGGACACGGTGACATACAAAGACTTCATATCGATTCTCAAGACGTATATATATCGACAATCCTCATTAGCTTATATGTTTGTATACATACTTGTAACGTTCACTTTTGGACACTAACAAGTTGTATTTGCTAAAATAATTCGAACATGTCATTTAGGTTCTATGTCACTAATCATCATGGAAGGCATGATCCAGCAAGGAAGGAAAAGCTGGCTATAAAAATACTATGTGCGATAAGTGTAACTTACTTCTTCAGTACTCCGTTACATGGCTGTCAAAAACATTACTTAATATTTTCATATGCAAAACACACAGTGCCCCAAGTAGAGGCCTGGGAGTGTACACTGTGAATACTATATATGTTCTATGATGAGTAATACCGGTGTCTACAGGAGACACCCCTTAAGGGTAAGTTTGAACCTCTTCACCCGTAGTATAAAACTTCATACATGGTATGAAATACTAAACCAAAACTTGTTCTCTTGTAGTGGAGAGCAGAGAAAAGAATGAAAAGAGACCCATACAAGAATGACCAAATCTTAGAGCTCGTCGGCGACCTTTGCAACTTCATATTGGACCAGATTGTACACGTCAGAGACGCCTACCATGACCGAGACCGGGGCGTTCGGCAACGCGAACGTGGTTCGGAACGTTGGCCGTGGGACGTTCGGCAACGCGAACGTGGTTCGGAACGTTGGCCGTGGGACGTTCGGCAACGCGATTTTGAATTGAAAATTTAATTTTTTTTTACGGGAAAACGTACTTAAGGGCGGTTCTAGATTGAACCGCCCCTACAAATACCTGTTTGTAGGGGCGGCTGGTACTGTAGCCGCCCCTACAAATCGATTTGTAGGGGCGACCGGTAATACAAGCCGCCCCTATAAATAGATTTGTAGGGGCGGCTGGTAATACGAGCCGTCCCTATAAATCGATTTGTACAAATCGATTTATAGGGGCGGCCTGGGAACCGTCCCTACAGGGCAAACCGCCCCTACAAATGGTTACGAGCCACCCATAAAAATCGATTCTGTAGTAGTGCGAGAGTGTCCCCCCCCCAAGGCCCTCTTTTTGGCTTGTTGGAGCCTAGATATGAGCCTTTATAGGCAACCAAATAGGTCCAAGCTGAGCCTGAACAAGGGGTAAGCATGACAACCAAACACATTCATAGTTTTCCTCAACTAGAACAGATCATTTCATTTGCGAGAACTGCAAACACAATTATAATGAATTATTAATACAAATTTGCAGTGCACCAGACATAATCGACAACAGCCCATATATGTGTAGCAAAACGCATTCTTCAAGTGTCTTTCTTATGTAAAGAAGATCTATGATGTAAATACCGACAATAATGTAGCTACTAATAACTACTTTATTCTTCATCAAGCTATTCCTTGACGCGTCGCTGGTTTCTTCATTGTAGCTTAGTCCTGATGAGCTGGGTAGTAGAGGCCGTTGACGGTCATGCCGCCGTCGACAGCGATGGTCTGGCCGGTGATATACGACGCGCAGGGCATGCAGAGGAACGCCACCAGCGACGAGATCTCCTGGGGCTCCCCGACGCGCCTCTGCGGCGTCCGCCGCAGGATCTCCTCCACGTACTCCCCCCGCGACAGGTCCCCTTCCACGAGCGGCGTCCTGGTGTACCACGGCGCGACGGAGTTGGCCCGGATGCCGTCCGCGGCCCACTCGCACGCCAGGTTCCGTGCCAGCTGGTTCATGCCGGCCTTCGCCATGGCGTAGACGGAGCCCGTGCACACGGCCACGGCGCCGCACACGGAGGAGACGAGCACCACGCTGGCGTTGCCGCCGGAGGCCGCCCGCAGCAGCGGGTAGGCGAGCTGGCAGAGGTGGTAGGCGGACTCCAGGTTGGTGCCCATCAGGAACGCGTAGTCCTCGGCGGTGTACTCCGCCGTGGGCTTGCTGAAGTTGGTGCCCACGTTGTTCACCAGGATGTTGAGCTTACCGCCGAACCGCTCCGCCGCGTCGCGCAGCAGACGCTCCCGCTGGTCGCGCGCCGACACGTCGCAGACGGACCCCGTGACGCCGCCGCCGCCGGTCTTGGCGGTCGTGGCCTCCCACTCGGCCAGGCAGTCGCGCAGCTCCGCCTCGTTCCGGGAGCACGTGTGCACCGCCGCGCCCAGCGCCGCCAGCTCCTCCACCACGGCACGCCTGATCGAGCACATGGATGCACGCGTACGAGTCAGTTACACTTACAGAGAACCGGCATGCGCCACTTGTGTTATACTACGTACGTACCCGATGCCGCGGGTGCCGCCGGTGACGAGGGCCGTCATGCCGCGCAGAGACCACCTCCTCCCGGCGGCGGCCTCGGAGCTGATGGTGGCCGCGTCGTCGTTGCCCGCCGCGGCCATGATCTTGTAGCTAGCTGGTCTGCTGGTGCCGGTTTCTCTCCTGAGCCCGTCGTGCAACAGAATTTATAGCACCCAGGGGCCAGGGCTTCATCTGATCGAGATGGCCAGTCGTCGCACGGCGTGCTCCGGTGTCAAGCTCGGGACCCCACCCGCTGCTGTTCCAGCTGCCACGTTAGTGGTACCGCTAGTTACTACGTGCTACAAATGGAAGTGTTACGAATGCTGTGACGCCACGTAAAGACTAAGCTAGTAGCCTTTATCGTCGCAAAAGCAAAATCGGCATCCGCCGAGCAGGTGGCTGCATCGCCTCACGCCTCCGCTCTATTCCCACCTAGCATAGCACGTCATTCCCGTGTATGGCTACCTCACATTATTAGCAAGAAAATGCATGGAATATGAGCAGGAAAACATAATGGGCTTTATTATTGCACATTGCATCATGGGCTACCAGCGGGCCTTAGTTTGCATCATGGGCTGTAGCCCCGTACATGCTCCAGTGCCAAATTAAATCGAGAAAATTCCTTGTATTATACACCGTCAAACTTACATATTCCTCCCATGGCTTTGAAAACTCTATCCGACACTGTCTTCGAATTCCATTTCCTACTACCGTTAGTTTTGAAGGCTCACATCGTTAACTTACATACGAAATGACCAAAGTACCCCTGATGTAAGAAAATGCACTCATGCCCTGTATGACATTGTTTGGTGTATGCAATTATGCCTTATTTGGGCCCTATTTTCTGTGCTTAGTTGTGGCATTTTGGTGAAAAAAATATATTTAAATTTAATCCAAATTATATAAGTTAACTTATGCTCATTGTACTCTTCATTTTAACATCCTTTTATTAAATTGTATCTTCATTATATAGTACATCAATACTTGCTGGCACATGTGTATTTAAGTATCCTTTTACTAAAATTGATATACATCATATAAATAAAAACTAAAATCATAAGTAAGATGCTTGCTGATGTCAAAAATCTTATTTGTGATTTAGTTTTGGTTGATTTAATATGGATGTAATTTAATAAAATAATACTTAACTAATGTGTACCGGCAAGCATAAATGGATTCATATCATGTGTATAAAATTTAATAAAAAGATGCTTGAATAACACAATCCAGTAACACATTCCAGGAAGCATAAATTAATAAAAGGAGTATAATGTGAATGGCATTTAATAAAAGATATCTCCTTAATCGATCACCAAGTCTTGGGGCCAGTCACTTGCGACCATTCGCAATGTGACTAACTCTATTGCATTATTCCGTGCAAAGCACACGATAGTCATAGCTACTTGCGTGCATCAATCACCAAAACACTGTAATCTCCACAATATATAGGACCTAGGTGCGTTCAGACTTCCAATACTGCCTTTGAGATGCTATAATTTTTTTTTGACAGAGGGGTATACCCGGCTTTTATAGAAAGAACAGTGTTTGATACAGAACCACCATCTTTTGCAAAGAGGATGATAGAATTTGTGAATTTTGATCATCTCGCTTCGCAGTACATTAGAGCTGGAACAAATGCGTCAAGCTAGTTTTCCGCACAGTTGGAAATTGTAGCGTTGGTTGATAGATGATTTTGAACTGTATGCACGCTAAGTTTGCGATATTGTGTTGCTAAATGCTAATTAGCATGCCGGGTCCATTTTTCTTTTCTCTTTCTTTTTTTTTTAATTCGTATGCCTTCCATCTAGCTGAACTTTGTTTTTAAACAAAGGTTTCTTGATTGAAAAGATAAGCAGCAGGTATCGATAGACGTGACAGATTTGAAGAGCAACAGTATGGCGGAATACAAATGCTCGATGAACTTTGGAGAATATAATGGCGCACGGGCAATTGCACATGGATATGATAAAGTTTCACAAGAATGACTGTAGAGTGTAGACATGACATGAACGGTGCGCACAATTGCAACCATTTTTTTCCCCTCTGACAAATCTGATGATCACGAGCACAATCAATCAATCATTCACCCTATAGCTGTAATGAATCGCCTCCTGACACTCCACGGCCACCATTTTGCTCGAGGCCGGACCGCCGGAGCTACTGTTTCCTGAGGAGGTCGTAGTGCACCTTGGGCTTCTTCCTGTGCTCCTTGCCGCACGCCTCCTGCAAGGCGTAGGCGAGGTGCAGCAGCATGGCCTCCGACCACGGGCGGCCGATGAACTGGAGCCCCACGGGGAGCCCTCCCCTGTCGTACCCAACCGGCACGGTGATCGCCGGCAGCCCCAGGAAGTTCCCCGCGATCGAGTACCGCACCAGAGCAGCTGCAAGTTGTTTTTAGCTGTCAGAGATGCACTGAATCACTTCTCCTTGATCAATCATCGTCGCATCACATTTACCTCCGTTGATGTAGTCCAGCTCCCCCGTGCTCAACGCGTCGTCCTGCAGTGCGTACGCCGTCACCCTACATACACAGCAAGTGAAGCAGCAGCAGCAGCCATGTCATGCATGCCATGGAGTGGAGCAAGGATTAGGATGGAGTCGCGTATGCATAGCACACCCTGTCATCGGCGTGACGATGGCGTCGGCTGTCTCGAAGATCTTCTCGTGGAAGTACATCTGACGGCATCTACAGGCGTTCCCGTTTTTGCAGCATCAGGATTCAGAGATTTTTCAGATTAATAATTGCATTGTTCATTTGATGCGTGGCGGCCTACCGGAGGCGCTGCGAGTTGAGGTAATCTCTGCTGCTGAAGGATCCGTAGGCGCTGAGCGCGATCCTGACGTCCCACCCGATCTCAGACCTGTCCCTGCCGTACAAAGTTCAGTTCGTTGCTGCATCAGGCCATGGATTTGAATGGCGTATCAGGAACGAACTGACCCGGCCAACAGCTAACTGAGCTGCTTACATGTTGTCGAGATACTTTGCGAGGGAGGCAGTGCACTCTGAGCCCATGGTCACGTAGTGCGCCAGCCGCATCTCTTCGATCTCCGGGACTGTGACGTCCACACTCTTTGCAGCCAAAACGGAAAGAGTTTGTAGCACGTAGCATTTCTTTTTCAGAATGGAAGAACTGCAGCCATGTAATGTTATTCAGAATTCAGATGCTAAACTGCGCCTTACCTCCCAACCGTAGTGCGTGCGCAGCATCTGCAGAGCCTTCCCGCAAAGGCTCCTGATGTCCTCTGAACTATCGTCGAACCACTGTTTTTTTTTTGGTCGCAAATTAATGTCAGCGCGATGTTCAGGCATAAATTTCAGACATTGGTGACCAAAGTTCAGAGACCGACCGACTGACCTTTGCGTATTTGGCGAGCCTGATGTTAGGCATGGACCTCGTGCATGTCAGCATGGGCAGGTTCAGTTCAGGCTGCTACAGAGCAGATCATCAACAAGTCGATCAGTCAATCTTTACTGAACACTGAGCTAGTAGTCGCTGAAATGTGTGGAAGCAGAAAATGGAACAAAATGAAATGGGCCGGGATCCTGCTTTCTGTCACCTGCAAAGGGCTTGGTTTTGACTGATCAGCAATGGCCGCATAACTGAAACAAAGTACAGAAACAAACAAAGACATCATTTGCCTGCCCATGGATGAAACACACACACACACACACACACACACACACACACACACACACACACACACACACACACATACAAGGAAATACAAATGGATCAGATTTGGTTTATGGAAGAAAAAATGAGAAGGTGGCCGGCACTGACGCGATGAGCGTGTCCTCGACCGTTGCTGCTAGGATCCCCGGCATGCCGACCGTCCAGTTCAGAGGAAGAAGCCTGAAACATTAATCGTGTCAGTTAAGCATGGCCATTAGCATCACAAGCTAGGATTGTGTTCTGCGTTCATTTATGTACGAAGGTGGCGCACCCGGAGTTGGAAAGCCGGCCGGCGGTCGGCTTGAACCCGACGACGCCGCAGAGCGCCGCCGGCATGCGCACGGACCCTGCAGGAACAGCGCCCAAAACGCCACGCCAGCGTCAGTGACTTATTACAGTGATGATCCGCGGCCACAGCTGAATGAAAGAAAAAGAAGCACGCGTGCTCCTTTTATTACCGCCTCCGTCGGCGCCGAGGGCGACGGGGCAGAGCCCAGCGCAGACTGCGGCGGCGGACCCGCCCGAGGAGCCGCCGGAGACCCTGCCGACGTTGTAGGGGTTGCGCGTGGAGCCGTGGTGCGGGTTGATGCCGCTGGTGCCAGCGCCGAGCTCGTGCATGTTGGCCTTGCCAGCCATCACGGCGCCGCACGTGCGCAGCTGCGCCACGCACGCCGCGTCCGCCACGCACCGCCGCGCCGACCCCAGCCACCGCGTGCCGCCTGCGTCGTCGTCATGGAAGCATGCATTATTTGCCGTACGTACATACGGCACCGGTAAAAATTACTTGGTTGGTAGGCGGACCGGTAAAAACTTGGTACAAGTTACAACGGTGGTGAAAGCTACAGCGTCAGCGCATGTCGATCGCAGCACTGATTTTGACGCATGTCGATCGCAGCTCTGATTTTGTTGCTAGTGCACTGTTGGTAGATTCTGACAGGTACGACACTCGACACAACGTGTTCAGTAATCAGTAGGCGAGCCCACAGAATGACGGGACAACCTTGATTTGGAACAGTGAGTCCTAAGTCATCTTTTTTCCCTTAAAATTTGACCAAAAGTTAAAAAAATTGTATCAACAATTATAGCAGTAAATTAGTTGCAAGACATCATATCCATAATTTAATACATTTTCTATAGCATTTTTTTTGGATCAAACTCGTTACTACATTTTGAATAAATCTTGTTAAATTCGAAGACGTTTAACTTAAGATAAAACACCTTGCAGTGGTACCTATCCTATTAATGTTTATCTTCTTGTGTCTTGGATGGTCTGTGAGCCTCAGTGCTCGGTGTTGCAATGTACTCCCTCCGTCCCATTGAGTTTGTCGTTGGAAAACCGTGCCCCCCTCACAATCCCGCTTCCCGAGCGACAATCTTAACGGGACGGAGGGAGTAAGGCTTCCTATACTCTTCTTTTAAGGCTGACCTTAAAAGAAGGCCTCGTTCGGCTGACCTTAAAAGTCGGTTTGTTCGGCTTCTTTTTTCAACTGAAACCGTGTTTTTCTCTCACAATAATTCAGCCGGAAACAGTATTTTTCAGTCAATTTCAGCCAAACGAACAGGTCCTAGTACATGTGTAACTAGCTTACCGGTGGTCGGGTACGGCAGGCAGTCAATCTCGTCCTTGACGGCAACCAGCACTCCGTCCATGGCGGACAGCGGTGCCCCTGCAGCGTTGCATCATCCGAAGATCCAATCATCATACATCATGTGAGCAATAACTCTGCATATTACGAAAGATACAGTGACATTGAGCTAGTCCGCAGCAAAAAGGAGGCGACTCTGTTCGCTTGAACTACTTTTCAGCTAAATCAGCTTATTTCAGTTTATTTTCCCTCACAGAACACTATTAAATCAGTCAAAATCAGCCGGCTTATATACCAGCCGAACAGGGTGATGCGATCTCTCCTCCCCCGTCCCCCACTCCCCCTCCTTGAATTCCTACAGGTCAGCAAGCATGCAATGCAATTCCTACCGGAGTCCTTGGCCGGCATGCATGCATACTACGGCCACATGCTGATGATGCTGATGCAGCAGCAGCAATGAATGAATGACTGCCCCACATTCCAGAATCCAGCGATGAGGGAGGGATGGATCCAACAGCCCAGGGACCATACGTCCAACAACGTACATCAATCATGCAGACATCCACCCATGTACGTGTAATGTAATGCACGATCAAATCTTGCGCAAGCTAGTAATTCAATTCAGCACTGGTTTTTCTCTTCAAGGGCATTCAGTGCAGACTCCTCCGGAGACGATCGATCGACGATGCCGTTCCTCTGCAAGACTGAAACGCTTCGTTCGTCAGTCATCAGACATCAGTGCCTGCCTACTAAGGGCACTGTCTGATGACTGACATCCTGTGTGCGTTCACCTCTGCAGCGTAAAGCCGTAACCTAACACGGTAACACCCCGTGTGCGTTCCTTTACTCCCTTGTCTCAGCTCAGCTAGACGATTCAGCGAGGGAGGCGGCGCGGCCGGCCTCTAGGGGCAGGCTGTGGCGGCCACGGGCAGTGCCGTCCTGTAGAGCAGCTGCCGCACTGTTCATCGAGCTGGTACACCGTACACCACACTACTCGTTCCATCTCCGGGTCCTGCAGGAGCATGCCTCGTGGCCTCATGGGCCACTACTACTCTCAGTCCTAACTACCCTATTACACCGTCCACAGTGCCCGGCTGCTGGCAGCTAACTGTTGGCGCATCTACCGGGCAGCTCTGGCGCGGTGCAGTAAAAATGGTGCTGCTTTCTAGTTATGGTGACAGACTGACAGCTTCTAGAAGCAAAAGCCCACTGCTGAGCTGAATGTCAGTGGCGAGAAATCGAGGCACGCAGGAGTACTCATCAACTACTGACCACTGATGAGCACTAGCTGCTGAGTACTACTGATACATGCATGGATGCCACTGTCAGTTGCTTCTATTCTACGGTGATCCATTGATTTCTTCTGCCTAGCTGTTCTGTTCACAGATTACTGCGCGGAATGCGATGAGCGCAGGACGGCTGACGGTGGCAACCTGTTCGAGTACGTACTACGACTACTACACGCACCTTGCTGGTATCTGCGGGTGGAGTCGTCGGCCTGGCGCAGCACGTCCCCGGGGTCGCAGCTGATGAACAAGCCCATGTTCAGATCCGGCCCCGAACATTCCTCCACTGCTGCCAGGAATCTCCGCGCCACCTGCACGCATGCGCAGCCGGCATAAACAACACGGTTCCGATATGATAATCCACCACTACAGAAAGCATTTGCAGAGATGACGTTCTTTTTAATAAAGACTCTAAAATCGTCCTTAAAAATGATCATCGAAACGAGCTGGCTCTAGAAATAAATGCATTTGTAGTGAGATACGGCTGGGTTTTTCGGCCACCCCTAAAAATTAATTTTCATGGGCAGCTATACGTAGAGCCGCCTCTAAAGAGAGGTGTAGCACTATAGTAAATTCATAACTACTTCCTCCGTTCTAAATTATTATAGGTCGTTTTAACTTTTTTGGTTCATTTATTTTGCTACGTATCTATACATATTGTTATATCTAGATGCATAAAAAAATGAATGTACAAAAAAAAAAGTCAAAACAACTTATAATTTAGAACGGAGGGAGTATGTCAAACAACGATGGATGAATACAAACTTTATATCAAATTGTAGATCCCGAGATCTACAACTTTGTAGCTTCATTTGAAAACATTTAGGGCCCATAAAATTGGTTTGAAGTTCTTACATTTTAAAATCCATTGACCAATATTGAAGTCATAGATCTCGTAGGGATGCAAAAGTTTGTAGTAGATTTTTCTTTTTGAAATCATATATAGTTTAAAATTCTATTTGAATATGGTCATTTTGAAATTCAAAATTTCTAAATGACCTCAGATGGAGAAATGACTGAAACTAAAGTTGTAACTCATGACGAGATAAAAAACTTTGTAGTTCAAACTTTTTTTTATTGGAGTTGGTAGTTCGTTTAGGCTTCCAAAATTCTGTTTGAAGTTCTAACATTTTAAAATACAAAATATTCGAACAACCTCGAATCGACAAATCGACGGGATCATCAACTTTGTAGTTCAAATTATTTTATTTGAAATCTTTTAGGGTCTCAAATATTTATTTCAATATCCAAAAAGTAAACATATCCACTTTTTTCACAATTGATTTAGGGGTCGAATGGCTGGACAGGTTAGCCCGCGTGAGACAATAGATTGCGGGTCACCATGTACACGCACAAATTTTGCGTGAAAAAATATGAAGTTCTTGTATTTACCTAGTGTGGCCTTCTCCCGATTAAAAAATCATTACTATTTTTTGGACTTGATTTTTGATTGTCTAGAAAATGATTTGTAGAGACGATATTATTTGTAGTTTTTAGGCTTGACTTTTGATTTTTTTAGGACACGACTTGTAGAGGCGGATGATGTTTCGTCTGCCGCTATAAATTGATTTCTAAGGACGTCTAGCCACCTCGAGAAAAGACTTCTGTAGCAGTGATCTTCGATTATCTCGGGCCTTATTTAGTTTTTTTCCCTAAAGTTTAATCTCTATCACATTGCATGTTTGAACACATGTATGGAGTATTAAATATAGACTAAAAAAATAACTAATTGCATAGATTGTGACTACTTTGCGAGACGAATTTTTAAGCCTAATTAGTCCATGATTTGACAATGTAGTGCTACAGTAAATATGTGCTAATGATGGATTAATTAGGCTTAATAAATTTGTCTCGCGGATTCCTGAAGACTTATATAATTTATTTTATTATTACTATCCGAACACTCCCACGTGACACCCTTAAGTGACACCCCTAAATTTTAGACCCTGAATTTAAACACCATCTTAGAGGGTGTTTGGTTGCTCCTCTAAAGTTTAGTCGTTGTCCCATCGCATGTTTGGACACATGCATGGAGTATTAAATATAGACTAATTACGAAACTAATTGCATAGTTTACGACTAATTTACGAGACGAATCTTTTAAGATTAATTAGTCCATGATTTGACAACGTGGTGCTACAGTTAATATGTGCTAATGTCGGATTAATTAGGCTTAATAGATTTATCTCGTGGAGTACTGACGTATTCTGTAATTTATTTTTTTATTAATATCTAAATACCCCATACAACATCCTCATATGATAACTCCTAAATTTTAATTACGGAATCCAAACACCTCCTTAGGCCCTGTTTAGTTCCCAAAAATTTTCACTCTAAAGTGTCACATTGAATCTTGCGGCACATGCATGGAGTACTAAATGTAGACGAAAAAAAAAATTAATTGCACAGTTGGTAAGAAATCGCGAGACGAAACTTTCGAACCTAATTAGTCCATAATTAGACACTAATTACCCAATACAAACAAAAGTGCCACAGTAGCCAAAACCAAAAAATTTCGCTAAACGCGCCCTTAGTAACTTTGAGCCCGTTCGGCTGGCTTTAAGCCGGCTGGCTGGCTGGTTCTCGCTTTCACAAAATCACTGTTCACGTCCTGTCAGAACAGTATTTTTCTCTCACAACAATCAGCCAGAACAGTATTTTTCAGTCCTGTCGAACAGGCCCTTTGCACACAAAACGTTACGTTGATTTGCAGGATTGGTTCAGGTGCAGCGAATGCTCGAGGCCACCTAAATTCTGTCGCTGCATTCAAGGCTCTGCTTGTCAGGGAGGAACGGTGGGGGTCTATTATTGCTTCCCAAACTTGTGCAAAATTAGAGCACGTTTGGTAGGGGTCATTAAAGTTTAGTCACTTTTAGATAATGTTTGGTTGCCCCTTCTAAATTTTAGTCGTTGTCCCATCGAATGTTTGATATATGCATGAAGTATTAAATATAGACTAATTACGAAACTAATTGCATAGTTTGCGACTAATTTACGAGACGAATCTTTTAAACCTAATTAGTCCATGATTTGACAATGTAGTGCTACAGTAAACATGTGCTAATGATGAATTAATTAGGCTTAAAAAAATCATCTCGTGGAGTACTGACGGATTATGTAATTTGTTTTTTTATTAGTATCCAAACACCCCATGCAATATCCTCCCGACACACCTTCTAAATTTTAGTCATTGTATCCTAACACCACCTTAATCACTAAAATGTCAATCACCTTGACTAGAAGGGGCAACTAAAATTTAGTGGCTTTAATTATAAGGAGTATCTAAAAGTAACTAAAAATAGAAGTGACTTTAATCTCTTTCTCTCTCCTCTCTTTTTCACTTTTAGCGTATGGATCCAACGGAAGGTAACTAAACTTTAAAGGGACCCTGACAGGGATGGAATGACGAACGTAAAGCTGAGCTGTAACGTTATTTTACTTTACCACCATGCATGCCGGCCGGGGTAAAAATACAGAAAAACGGGTTGTTTACCATGACAGGGGTAGTCTGTCCTGAGCTGTAGGCCCTGTGGAAGTCCCGCACCGTCCAACGCCTGAACGACGGGCCATCAGCGAGCGCCGCCGCCGGCGGCTCCAGGTCAGCTGGGATGCAGGCGACGGCCGCCTGCACGCGCTCCGCCGGCGACAAGCCGGGCTCCGTCACGCTCACTTGCTGCTCGGGGATCGCTGCTGCATCCATCGTACAGCAAACGCAACGGTTTCATTCTGTTAATGTAGAGCGATCGAATGTCAGAGGTGAGAAGGTGACGGACAACCTTGCCATGTGTGGGTGGCCGTGAACAGCGGCGGCTCAGGGATCTCGGCGTCCGAGACGAGCTGCGGAGACGAGGACGACTATGAGTTGGTGACTAGTAACTAGTTACTAGTATAGTTTCAGGCTAAGTTTCATTCATTCAGATGGCATGCACCTTGTAGATGAGGTTGTCCCTCTTGAGGACAGAGAGCACGATCCAGCCGAGGATGGGAATCTCGAGCACCCACGCCAGCATCTTCACCAGGAACCCGGCGACGCGTGGAGCTGCAGGGGAAAGACGATCGATGCATCAGGGTAAGCAGACACTGATATCATCTCCGAGCATCACTGGGTTCTGGATGCAGAGGACTCTGAAGTCTGAAGTCTGAACTGAATCATGAATGCATGTGCACGATTGATTGCAAGTCTGCAACTGCGAGCGATCAGGACAGGGCAGGGCGAGGGACCTTTGACGTTGGGGCTGATGTAGTGCTCGCCGCTGTCCGGGCCGAGGTCCACCTCCGCCGCCGGCTTGTACACCTTGGCCGGCGTGCTGAAGAGACCCATGGATGGATGGTTCGTTGGTTGGATGAGTGTAGTGAAGCAGAGCTGGAAGTGGAAGGGAAGATTGTGTTGTGTCAAAACTGAAAAGCTTCGCTCCTCTGAGTCTATGACTGTGCTAGCCTACAAATGCCAAGATTGTGAGCTGCTTATAACCAGGGAGGGAGCAGGGACCTGCAGGAATGGTTTCAGAAATTGAGAGAGGCTGGCGCCCTCTGCAATTTTGGCGGGGGAATGAGCTGTGCTTCCGATGGGGTCGGAGAACCTTTAGCCACGTGGGCAGCGGTGTTTTACTTTAATGCTATTTATTCACTGGTAATTCTCTCGGTTCCTCTTCTTTAGGACGAGTGACCCGCCTAAAGTCACCTCATTTTAATTTTTCATCCACCACCCCGTAGGCCGCATAGCATGATGTGGTATCTTTAAAGTACCCCCAAGCCATATACGTTGTGTCCGTTTTTTTTTGGTGTTTTTTAGTCTTTGATGTGCAAACAATGTTTTCCTAGATGTTAAACAAGCACTCAACTAATATATTATCCACTGTTTAGGCTAAATGCCCAAATAAAATGGTAATGCTACCATTAAGACGTCCGGAATGACGAACGCCTCGCTTCACTCACTGCCGCACGCGTCGCTCACCTAAAAAAACAAAATCAACTCCTGCACGTCTCGCTCTGCTCCCGCCCTTACCCCTTCCAATCTGCACTCCTCATCCCCTGCCACAGTGCACCAACGCCCGCCGTCCTCCCCCTCCGGGAGCCCCCAACACCCGCAGATCCAGCAGCCCTCTCCCCCACCCGGCGAGATCCATGGAGCAGGAGCGAGATCCACTCGCCTCCGGCGAGATCCATGGAGGTGGCATGGCGGGGTTGTAGGGGAGTAGGCGGCTCTCCTCCACCTTGGCGTAGTGCCCTCTCAGTCCAGCGACTGAGCTTCCCCCACCCCAGCGACTATGGCTCTCCTCCCCCATCCCCCACCGTCGTCGCCGAGCCAAGCCTGTTACTGGTGGCGGTGGTGCTCGTGCACCGCCACTCGCTGCCGGCTGCGACCCCGATGGCTGGAATCGACTGGCCTAAGCTTCCCCTCCCCTATGCTGCAAATGCATGTTTCAGGTGTTTCAGTCGTTTCAAAGGTATGTTGCAGTTATTTCTTATGGATGTTGTAAAAGTAGATAGGAGATGTTGCACATGTTACATATGTTGCAAGTGCTTCAGAAGCATGTTGCAAGCGTTTGTTCAAAATATTTCATTTTGTAGACGTATGTTGCTATCATTTTTTATCTAGATGTTGCATATGATTTCACACATATGTTGCAACAGTATGTTCCAAATATTTCAGCTGTTTCAGTCTTATGCTGCAATAAGTGTTTTTTCATGTTGCAGTTGTTTTATCTGAATGTTGCATATGTTTGACACACATGTTGCAAACGTATGTCCCAAATGTTTCATCTGTTTAAAATGTATGTTGCATTCGAGTGTTTCATGTTGCAAGTGCAGACCGCCGACGTTGGTGTCCATGAGGCATAGGGTGCGCGATGCTGTTGTGAAAGAGGCGGGGGCGAGCCTTCCGGGCGGCCTGGAAGAGACGGGTGCCGTGCCGGTGTGGAAGAGGCGGGGGAGAGTCATTCGAGCAGCGTCGGCAATGGATCTAAAGCGGGAGGTTCGGATGCGAGCGCGGACAACGGAGCTGGAGCGGGTGATGCGCGAATCTGAGCGGACGAGGTGGAGCAGCCGCGGGCGTCAGGATATCAGTGCGCTAGTGCAGCCGCAATTAAAATGAACAAAGTAGCTGTTTAAACAGGATAAATGACCGGTTAAACGAAAATGACTTACCATCATTACCATTTAACACTACCTGAATTTCAGACTTCTTCTAATGATGTGGCTTTCTCCTAGTGTTTTAGTATTCAAAATTTAGTATAAACTTTTCCTACCAAATGCCTCCTAGTTAGGATTTCCATGTGATATGACTAGTGGTAGTGTTTTATTACTACTTAAAAACACTAGGAGAATTCCACCATTTTGGTAGTGTAAATAGAGTTTAACTAAACGAACAATGGGCACAAATGTAAGCAACCATCAGGTAAAATTAAAATCTAACAACATACAAGGATATCAAATAGTTTATGCACAACACCATAAACAGAGAGTTCCTCTTTCTTATGTTAATTTGCTCAAGTACCTACTAGCTGCATGTCAAATGCTAGATGCTTAGACACGGGTGCTAAATAGTACTTCCTCCGTCCCAAATTAAAATTTATGCAAAATATCACTTTTTTTGTTGTGGCTTGTTTTATTAATAAAAGTTTTTCAAGAATGACTTAAATTTGACTATATTTACATAAATTTTTTGAATAAGACGAAAAGGTAATCTAGACATGTTACAGCGAAAAGGTAATCAGGCAACACTTGAATTGAATGGAAATCTAGACATGTTCGACTGCACTTATATGCAGCTCCACAGCTACAGCTGACTGTTTTTATGAGTTAGAGCAGCACCAGTATTTCTGCAAACCGAACCGTGGTTCTTGCTGGACGTTCGATCAACAAACCAAGAGCACTGCAGATCGAAGCGAGGGAGAAGAGAGAAAAATCGGATCTTTTGAACCGTGGCCGTGGGGAATAAAGCTTGAAACACAGCTCGTGGCTTACCTGCACAGGCAAACGTACAATTTTTAATTGTATCATGGATCCACTAATCGACGCTCACAACAGAGAGGACGAACCGTACGCAATATTGATTGACTAGACCAGCCGTGAGACTTGGTTCGATGTTAGCACTGGAGCTGCCATTATTATTACAGTATTTTTTTTCTCTTATTCAGTGCAGCAGCGGCCGCTACAGCCTGTTCGGTTGGCTGGTTCGTATCGTTGCTGGTTCGTTTATGTGAGAGAGAAGTATTACTGGCTGATTCATGTAAATAATATCCATGTGAGAGGGCGGGTCAGCCAGCCCGCCTAGCCAGCCAGCCCCAGCCGATCAGAACGAACGATTCCAATAGAGCATTGTACTCACAAATCACAAAAGTATTAAGCGTTATACTAGCTCGTTCGATGACACACGATACAACTTGCCTGACCATTTATACTTTTATAGGAAGCAATCTTGCGATGAGCCGGCCGGCGATGCGAAAAGAGCTGCTGATAGGTCAGTAAGTTTGGCTTGCCTTAATCTCCATCAGCAACCAATCCTTCCTCAAATCCTTCGGTAACCTTAAAAGAGATCTAAACCGGCGGCCATTGTCGTGGCTAAGAATTCTATAGGCTTTCAGCAGCTCATCACCATCCAAGCCATACCTAGATATCTCTAGAAACGCCTCCAAGAATTCCGATGCTTGCTCAGACGGTTCAGCAAACGACGAAGATGGTTCTAGCGTTGGATTCCTAGCATCGTTCTCTCCCAATAATCACTACAGGAACTGCTGGCTTCCCCGAGTGTCAGTTGCACTCGGAGAAGGCCCAGTTGCACTCGGAGAAGCCTTCCCCGAGTGCAACACTCGGGGAAGAGCCTCCGGCTAATCCTCTCACGGGAAAGGCGCCTTCCCCGAGTATCAAAAATCGTGCACTCGGGGAAGACTTTGCCGAGTGCCGTGCTGACACTCGGGGAAGACTTGACGTCGTTGGCCGACGGCCGACGCCGTTTGCTTTTTTTTTTTTGATTTTCTTCCCCGAGTGCAACACTCGGGAAAGATTTTTAATTTTTTTTAAATACTCTTTGCCGAGTGCCGCAGCTCAGGCACTCGGCAAAGAAATTTTTTTTTTTAAAAAAATCCCTCTTTCCCGAGTGCCATAGCACAGGCACTCGGGGAAGATTTTTGAATTTTTTTTAAATACTCTTTGCCGAGTGCCACAGCTCAGGCACTCGGCAAAGAAATTTGTTTTTTTAAAAAAATCCCTCTTTCCCGAGTGCCACAGCACAGGCACTCGGGGAAGCCACCTCTAAAATTCTTTTTTTTTGTTTTTTGCTTTTCCATGTAAACAACAGAGCATATATATATATATATATATATACACACACATATATATATATATATATATACATACATACATATATATATATATATATATATATATATATATATCACAAACCACAAATCAACACCAATATGTCACAAACCACATTTATATATCACTACTGGAAACTCATTTTCTTGTGTGTGATTTTTTTACATGCGTTTTTAGCGTACGCCTGAAAAAATTAAAATTATTACATGCGTTTTCAAATAATCCCGTCGAGACAAATACAATAACACACGAGAAAAATGATATGTTTTTTTTCGTATGCGTGAAATATACACACGGAAAAACTTCACACTCACGAAAATTTTCAATTATTCGCCGGTGGTCTCGACACATACGGAAAAATTATGTTCACGCACAGTAAAATTGATATTATTCAGCCGGTTTTTGAAAAACACACGTGGAAAAACATATACACGCATAGAAAAATTGAAGCGACCACTAGGATTTGGGGTTCGCGCTCTCATTTTGGCATTCGCGCTCTTCGTTTCGGTGTTGGCGCGTTGTCACGAAATGAAAATACATTAATGAATAAAAAAAAGCAAAAGACTCCTAACCCTAACCTGCTGCCCGCCGCCCCCAACACGCACATGCCCGCCCCCAACTACGCCACACACGCCGCGCCGCATAAGCGGCGCCCGCTCATGACTAAAATCACGCACTCGCGCCGCGCCGCCGCGCCGCCCGCCAGCCATGGCCGCCGCCACGCCCATTGCTGCTGCCCCTTACGCCCGCCAGCGCACACACCCAGCCGCCGCCGCTCCAGACGCCCGCCGCGCCGCCGCCGCAGGACCTTCTGCAACCATGCCGTCGGTGATTCAGCGTCTCCAAGTTCCTCGCCTCTAGATCCGCGCCTCTCCAAGCTCCCCGCCGACCATCGCCAGCGATTGGCGCCCTCCCTCTACCTAGCTACGCCCGGCGTGCGCGCCCTCTCCCGTGCTCGCCTAGGTCCGGCTGGGGTCCCGTGCTACAACCTTCAAAGCGAGC